TGTATTGAAAAATCAATTCGAGGAGGGGGGGGTCTGAATTGAGCGATCAATTATTGGACCCGGACGTCCCAACACTTGCTTCGCAAGACAAACTCAAGGTATCCCCTAAAGGGCTACCTTTCGTGATGAGCTTAGTTTTCTATTGTTTGGCTGGCAGTAGTGATAGTAGTCTCTCCTCTTACTCCTACTCTTACAGCCCTTACTACTTCTACTTCTACTACTGCTACTCCTACTGGTGCTGCTAATAGTCGAGACTCATGCAACGACTGCTAACAATAACAATGACAATAGCACAGTAGTGTCCAAAATAGTTTTGGTCGGGCTGACTCGGGTTGACACGATTCATTCTCCCTCAATTGTTTCCTAGGGAAAGGGAATTTATATACTATCTAGGATCGGACATTAAGACCCCACTCGGTCAAACATGTCATTGAGTCGAGCAAGGGAGAATAAACGATTAACAATATTAACATTAACATCTTGTAACTTCTATCAATAAACAACCCACTCCGCTATCCTGCATTCCTTTCAACAAGTTGTTGCATCGGTATTTGTCCTTTCGTACTCCCGTGGCTTGCCTTAAGTTGGCAGTTAGCAACTGACAAACAAAAAGCGGCCGCCTCACCGGCAGTGGCAACTCTCCTTTTCATGTCTCGTTGCCTCTAAAGCCAGACAATGACAGCAGGTGCACCCAGGTGACTGCAGCAACAGACCCTTCCTGGATCTCCTCTCAAGACCGCCTGGACATCGGCAAGTTGCAAAGAAAGTGCCAAGCTATAATGACTGTTTTGCGGCCTCACAACCACCACTAGGGCCACAAAAATATCGACATATATCGACACTCAGCATCAGCCTTGCCAAATCCAAACCAGTTCACAATTTTGGCAAACTGGTTGGTATAATTCACCAAGAACCTAAAAGTGGCTACAAGCGAGAGAAACGAAAGATCAGCTACTCTTAGCTCAAAAACCTCGAGCAGCCCTCTCGCTTGTCAAAGCTAATCAAGTCATGGTCGCTTTGCGACTAGAAGAAAAGCTTAATTCCTTTCAGGGCAGGCAACCTATGGCAGCTTGAACGCCGACATCTGGATCCCGAAAGAGTCTCTTAGGCTCCTATTGCGGTTCTTCATTCTGCCTGCCCTGGTGCTAAGATGTGCTGAGCATGGCCCAGCTATATATCCCGTCGTCCAAGAACCCCGGTGGATTGGTCCCCATACAGGTTGCAGCTCACAAACTTGGCAAAGAACACACAACTCCCAATACATGCATATATCATATATCCATATATATATATATATCTCATATATCATATATCGTATATATATATATATATCTATTATCTATATGTGGCTGCGATAGCGACCACACTGGTAGCTTCCTTGCCCACCTTCTTTGGGGTCTTCAACCCTCAAACCAAACACCAAAGGTCGGACCTCCAACTTTCCTCCCCCTTCGCACCCTTTTCTGGTGCTCTGCCTGTCCGGTGTCCTGTCCATGCCTTGAGCCAAACCACAGTGGGCTTGGTTGTGTACGGTCACCATTCGAAGGTTCTGCTTCCGAGGTCTGCCGAGGTCGATGCTCTCATTCAAATCACACTGGTTCCATTCTCTTTTTCGATTGTGACTGATCTGAACATGACTCTATCCATCGGCTGCTGAAAGTGCGATTCGGGTTCTCTTTCAACGACTTGCTGTCGTCGTATATCCTGAACTTTCCCAAAGCTAATACTTTCCGAAGGAATGACGAATCCATAGGCTTAGTCAAACAATCAGCAAGCATAATAGCCGTGGAAATCCATCTGCACTCCGTTGTGTTTTCTGACTGTTGTTTGATCAGCATAACCTCTATCGTTGCCCGCCACTCCTGGCAATTGGGTGTTGCCATCTTGTTTACAAGGTCATACAGACTTTTGCAATCTGTGATCAGGAGGGCCTTTGGCTCCTTTTGCAAGGAAATTTCTGGCGTCTGCCACTTGAACTTACCATCCGTAATAAATGCCCACATACATCTTAGCCACGTGAGCTTGTCCAAGGAAGATGACATGGCATAAGCCTCTGCGCTCAGGGTCGAACGAACTACCCGGCTGATCTGTTTTGAATGCCACGAAACAGGGGAGATTTCTGAAACTCTGTTTTGGGCAAGTTCCTTCGTGCATGTACCTATGAACACTCCTTGTTGAGGTTTAAGCTGCGACTCTGAGGCGAAACTAGCATCCCCAAAGCTGGCAAATGTAACCTGCTGCATATCTATGGGTTGCACAATAATTGCTGTATCTGCATTCTCTTTCGTTTCTTGCAATATCTTAGTGGCTTCCATTAGATCTTTGACCCGAGCCTTGCGTATGCTCTTTTGCAGGAATGAGACTTTTGCCATCATGTCGGGACGCGAGTGAACTGCCGCATATTGAAGGCTACCACACAAGGCTCTTAATTGATGTTGTTCTTGGCTAGTCACTGGCGACTCTTGCTCTTTTCTTCTAATCTTGGCCCTACCTTGATCGAAAAATCTTCTCTCTGTTCAATGGTCAATCCCGTAAATTTGAACTTTCTATACTCACAGTTTCCGAATGGCAGTTTTCTCTGAAGGCTTTCAAGAGCCTTATTGAATCGTGGTCCTCCACCTCCAATTCCATCGTCTACATGTGTCCCCAAGATTCCGTCCAGTTTTGTGGGATCTTCTGGATCTCTGAGGAGGAACAGACAGTTGTCTAGAGGGTGGACTGTGAACCCTTCTTGCTCCAAGCACTTGCGAAATTCCTTGTAGAAAAGGAGGGGTGCATCTACTCTGCCGTATGCATTGCCCTTCAACAATAAAACCTGTCCCTGATTGAGGCTAAGCATATCTTGGAATTCTTTGACTGGGTAGATGGCCAATTCACGTTGGTCAGCTCGACCCCGCAAAAATGCGGTTTTGATATCGAACGATTGGATGTTCCAATGGTTGGAGCTCACTGTCTGTAATATCATCATCCGCCCATCCCTTGACAAAGTTGGACTCTCGGTCGAGACTATTCCCACTTCTGGGTCTTGGAAACCCCTGATGACCAAGCGAGCCTTGGGCTTGCGGCCTGTCGGCGACGTCTGATCTTCCTTCCAAGTGAGAACCCATTTGGAAGACATTATCCTGGAGGGGTGGATTTTGTGCCTTAGGATTGGCTCAACTGTACTTGTTTCAATCCAGCACTTCAGTTCTTTACGCTTGGCTTCATCGAACTGCTTTCGTTCTGTTTCCGTGAGATTTCGGTAGCTAACTTCTGTATGGCTCTTCTTTGCGGCTTTGTTCAAGGCTTCGGCATGTAAGCATGGATTCTTACAAAACTTTTCCAACATTTTCATCGGAACTACGAATTCGAAACTGCAATAATGGGCTTCGGCTACTTCGGATGCTTCTGTACTCCATAGAGTCCCCTTATCATCCACCCCTGGCTGCTGTCCATCTATTGCTTCTACTACACATGCATTGACCACCATTGAATCCCCAAATGATTCTGATGGATTTACTAATTGTTCATTATCTGCACCGGAGGCTTCTTCTGGGTTTGGTGGCTCTCGAAGTTCATCTTCTGCATTTGGATCAATCACTGGAATTTGACTTGCATCAAGTCCAGGCGGATGATCCGATAGGGATTCCGTTCGAGACTCTTCCTCTGGCTGATTCGACCTGGGCACTGATTCTGGCCTGGGATCTGCAATCGATGGCTCATAGTCGGTGTCAATGAGTTCAGAGAATTGGAACATTCCACTTCGATCCTTCAGATCCTTTCTGAGTTGATCCGCCATCTCTTGCAAACGATGTGCATCACCGGTCTGACTGAAACCGTGGTGACTTTGGAACTCACGCAGGGACACTGATCGCATGTTCTCTCTTGCAACCCTCAGCAATCAATTCAGGTGCGTTACCCATACAATGGTGCGAGATTCATGCATGATGACCTGACAAGACCTACCCATCTGCCTTTTTTCGAGCATATTTGGGGCCTTTCTTCCATCCCACACCATGCACAATTCACCACATTTCCAGTCATGCTCTCTTCCCCGGGATTGT